GTGTCCTTTGCATTTCTTCCCCAGGCCAGAGCTCCTGACATTGCCAGCTACCTCAGCCTTTTCATCTATTACAGTCTATCAATTAATACCGATGATTCATACAATATAAAAATAGAAGCTTGATATCAGTAATTTGATTTACATGTAAGCCTACCCAGTTCTCCTTCTGATTGCATATTAAATACTTTGAGCATTTAGCTTTGCATCATACCATTTTATTGAAGAACTTGGCTGTGGTTCTTATGGTCACATGCTGTATTTGAAGACCTGAATTTGAGTCCTAAGTACTTGGAAGTACTATGTCTATGGTCTTGGTCACTCAGTTTTAATGTTTTCCAAAATTATAACTTAGAATGAAAATACTTTTATAAATTTATTTGATATTACTGAGATTTATTTTTTGTTAAAAATGCCTGATGTTTGCTATAATGAGAGCTATAAAAGCTCTGTAATTATTTTTGATGTCCTTGCAAATCTTTGAGATTTTAAATGTATCTCCTGAAACTATGTTCCTTCTGTGAAAACATTTGCATTGTTTCAGTTGAAAGTTCATTTGTTTGTAACGTGCAAACTGGACATGAGATATTGCATTGCTGTAGTTACTAATCTGCTGATGAACTGATTCTTGTACAGATTGGAATGATTCAATGGAATGAGTTTCAAGAATGTGTTGCAGTTTAAAATGCTGCTTGGGTGTGAATTAAGATGTTCAGAAGCTGCATACGGTTTCTTGAAAACTTGATCCTTTTTAGCCATCGATAATGCCCTCAATGCAGAGTGCTTCTTCGAGTTTCTAAAGCACAAGAAAATAAGATAACTGGGTAGATGAAGCACTAGTGCTTATGGATTGCAAAAGGTGTGAGGCTGCAGTTTAAGAATTTACATACTCTGGCTGTGGTAGTGACTGATTGCAGAAGTGTGTTTGCCTTGTAGGCTGTATGTGATATTGTTACAACGCTTGGATTTGGGCACTTAGCTTGTCCCACTTGTGTAACGAGACTCATTGTAGAATCCCTTCACTGAGCCTTAAGGTCAAGCATTTTGCCTTGTATTTTGCAGTAAGGTGGTAACAAACACATAGTTTAGGAGTCTTAGCTGATGGGCAGCAACTTGTTAAGTCAGGATAACTCAGATTGGTTTGTATGTTTGCATTTTGAGGCATTTAATTTGTAATGTGTGCCACCTAAATGATAACTCTCTCATGAGTGAGGCTTTTTTACTGAGAAATTGTGATTGTGAGACAAATTTGTCCTAGGGAAGAAGACAGAAGGTACTAGAGAAAAAACAAACCCTCATGCGTGAATGGGGGCTAGGAAGTTGCAGAATTCTGTGTTCCGTCCAAAGCACGTGCATCCGCCCTAAAACTGTGTGAAATCAGGTTGTCGAGAGGCAGCTGTCATCCTGAGTGTCTTGTTCTGCAAATAGGCGCTACCATGTTAGATGGTACTGTCTTGAGAACTTTCTTAGGGTATAGATACGTCTTCTGATCTCACTGGTAACAGTGGTAGAAGTTTCTGCCTCTTTCTTCTCTCTTCACTTGAGTTTAATGTTGTATCCACTTTCTGTTGACCTTATGGGTTCATGTGACGGCTTCCAATCTGTTTGGGTCAAAATAAGACTTTTCAGCAGAGACCAGCTACTTTGCACTTTAAGCTCACTGCTGTTCTTCGGGAATGAAAAGCAGCAGGACCAGTTGGGACAACTGGTCAGGAATCATGTGTTTACCCACTCAGTTTTGAGCTGTTTTTGAGATAAACTTGGGTCTTTTCAGCTTTATTTGAGGGACGTAGTGTCACTGGTCAGATTCAGTCCCAGGTGATTATTATTCGCATTTCCAATACTCCTTTTGCACTACCATCTGAATACTGTGATGTTTGGTGTGTAATGTTAAATGTCTACCATATTCCATTTTGTAGAGTTCCATCTTGCAGAGAATAAATAAAGCTGGTACTGAGTGAAAGAACAGGACATGTTCAAGTGCAGGATTTATGATTTATATATGTTTTTATAGTGTGATATTCCAACTCAGGAGTCTTTGTCGTGTAGGGCAAAAGAATACCCAAACGTTTTATGATAACCTAAGAAATTGTTCCCCAGGCACTGGTAAAATGGTTTTTATATGTTGGTAAAGTTCGTAGTATTAGATAAACATGAAGTCTCCCTTTCCTGGCTCTCAGTATTGGTACTTCAAAGGACTGTATAGCTGTCCGTTTTCCATGTCTGCAATGGCTTTCTCAGTGGATGCCCGTGACAACAAATGGACCAACTTGTTATTTGTCAAGGTACTTCTGTATGATCTGAACATCTGCCTTCTATATGTTTGTGAGGCTGGTTTGTTGTCCACAGGCAGCTGTGAATGTAACTGGCTACTACTGTTCTGGGACCAGGATGGTACTACTACTGCAAAGGAAAGACTTCATCTCCATTTTCAAAAAAAAGTTTGATTACTTCTTAACCACTCTCTAAGTAACATATCTTTTTTCCTTTCTCCCTCTTTGCATTCATTAATTGGTTCTTTGGAAAATAAATTAATTGTATGCATTAATATCTTCTGTGTTACTGCTTTTAACACATCATAGTGAATAAATACTATTTTATCAGCCCACTCAGCAATAATGACTGTTAGCCTGATTGTTAACTGCTGGGTGTCGGATGGAATGCTGAACACAAGCTTGTTCCAAAATGGCAGAATCTGGCTCTCCTTTCTACTGTAATAAAGCTGCTTCTGTTTGCAGCACTGTGTTGCTGGGAGACTGCAGCTAATTTTTGTGGCGCATGTCAGTAGTAGTGAATCAAATTATACATTTCATTGAGTAGCTCTTCTCTTTGTTTGTAAACTGTCTTCTATGAAGGGAGAGATTTTTTTTTTTTTTTTTTTTTCTGCTGAGAACAGTATCCAGACCAGAGAAAAATGACTGAATCTGGAACAAAAAGCTCAGATTGTTCTGTTGATAACATCATTGTACTTACAAAGTCACTCCAGGGGGGGATGGTGGCCTGGCTGAATTTACATGTCTGATAGTCAAATATAATGCAGGTATTCACAAGAGTTCCAGGTGAGGCATATACATCTCCTTAAATTGCTGTTTTTCTTCTTCCGACTCCATGGTGCAAAACTTCAGCATGTGGTGTGACTTTAAAGTGAAACAACAAAACAGACTCCGAGAGATCATGAATTAGAAAACTACATAGTTTTGATTCACAGCAAAGATACAGTGGCAATTTTGGGGCTCTGTAGAAAATGCAGTTCTTTTTAAAATGATTGTTATACAGCTTGCATGTGGATCAGGACGTGCATGCAGTTACAGTGGCAAAAAGTGGGTGTAATTGGGCATGTACCTAAATGAAAATACATGTGTAAGGTGGAATCTGACTCACAAGTTAAATATCTTTTGCTTGCTGAATCTGTACTCCTTTTCTAGATAAAGGAGATAGTAGTCCACTTCCTGATGTTCACATCTGCTTAGGTTTTTAGCAGAGTCTTGTTTTTACTCTTGCTTGAGATGCCTCTATAAAATAGAGTGTGTGTGTGTGCGTGAAGCCTGCTTGCTTAAAGACGCAAGTCATGTCAGCTGCAATGCGGCAGTGCTTGGTGCTAATGAGGTGAGCAGCCACAGCGGCCGTCTGCTTATTTTTCTCAACTCTGTGCACTTGTGGCAATGGGGATTGGAGGAAGGGATTTGTATGGGATATGGCTCTGTTTTGGCCTTTCCAGAGTGTGGTTCTGTGTCTACCTTAGGACTGGGCAGCGTAATTCTATTTCCATTTTGTTAGTTAGTTAAGTTGCTTCATTATATTTAAGACAAACTCTACAATGCATCCTGGTTGGGAGAAGAAAAGAAAATGGGAAGTGGAGAGGGGAATACCCTCTCTTCACCCCGCCCCCCCCTCCCCTCATTAATTCAAATGCACTATGAAGTTAAATACATGGCCTGGCAATATGTGTCTTCAGGTTGAGTAGACGCAAGTCAGCATTTGAAAAGTAACATCTTTGGAATAGAGCTGATCAGGTAGTTAACGTGGGCTAGATCTGAATGGTTACAGCTGGCCTTCCATAGCCACAGAGATGTAGATGCACTGTGATTTCTCAACTCATCTTCTTTCTTTTTTAATCCTTAAGGTGACAGCAGTGTGTGCTGTGTATTTTATCCAAAGTCAGAAAGTTTTACTTGGATCATAAAGCAAATAATGTGAATATCAAATTCTATTTGTCTTTTCCCATCCTCATATGCCGCCAGACTGTTTTCATTGACTTTGATGCCTTCCTGTCTAATCCTATCATACTACCATTCCTGCAGTCTGCCTTTCAGAGACATAGTCTGTAAAACTATAGGTCATGATTAAGTGTAATACATTGGTCTTGGTGGCAAAGCTGGCTCTCCTAGTTCCTGCCTTAATGTCACAAGGTGCTGCTCTGTTAGCTGATATAATTATTTCCAAGTATTTACTTAGTATAAATCAGATGATTTAAATTATCTGTGTTAAAAATACTGCTGGTTTGGTTTTTTGTAAGGGTCATACTAATCTCTGTTACTTTGGCAATATGTTGTGTAACGTGATGCCACAAACAGAGGGATCAATGCATCTGGGACTGGGAAAGGTAGGAACTGTATCCTGTAGGCAAGGACAAGTGGTGGGAGGTGGGAACCTCCTGAGCTACATACTACTGACGTGAATGTAGTGTGTAGCTGACACCCATAGAAAGGATGACTTGTCAACCTATAAAAAAAGTCCTTCACCCTGGGAAGGAGCCCAAGATTGTGTGCCCTAATACCGTCTGTTCTTTGCCTTTTCCTAGTTTTAAGTGGGTTAAGAGTGACATGTATGAAACAGCACAACTGACAAGATGCATTTTAGGGAGACTTGTACTGTTTTAACACTCACTGTTGGAAGTCTGGTACCACTGGTGTGATCACATATAGTGCAGTATTTCTTTGCCTGTTTACCTTCTCCTGAAGACCTTGCAGTTGACTGGGATGTTTTTTTTCTTCCTTCCTCAGGTCTCCGGGTGAACGGGGAGCTCATTACTGCTTACCCGCAAGTAGTGGTTGTGCGTGTGCCAACACCTTGGGTCCAGAGTGACAGTGATATCACAGTCCTTCGCCACCTAGAGAAGATGGGCTGTCGATTGATGAATCGTCCCCAAGCCATCCTCAACTGTGTCAACAAGTTCTGGACGTTTCAAGAACTTGCTGGTCATGGTGTGCCTCTTCCAGACACTTTTTCATATGGTAAGGCTTTTGGATCAAAGGGGTAGCATGGTTGCCTACCATAATTTATGCTTTTGCAGTGCAAAAGATACCAGTCAAGTTTTGGAAATCCATAGAATTAAGTAGCATGAGGCTAGTTCCACAGATAAGTGTTCAGTAACCAGAAAAAGTCACAACACTCAAATTCTGGTTTTGGCTTTGTTGATTAGCTGTGATGCCTTGGGAGGAGTACTTTAACTGTACCTCAGCCTCCCAAGCAACTAACTTTGGCTGTTATTACTAAAATGTTATGAACTCTTTTCCAGTTGCCTGAAACAACAGACAAGAACTTGGGGAACCAAATGTCATAGGATACTACAAAGATACAGACTTTGATAAAATCTGAAAGTAGATTAAACTTCTATATGAATTAAAATGTCTGCAAATATATCCATTACTGTGAAAGGACAAAAAGACTACAGGCCATAGTGTTCAACTTATGTTTCCCACAAGAACAGTTAATTATTAATGTTTCTTGTGTCTGTTGCTGGAGTCTGTGGTTCCTGACAGAGTACTAGATTAGAGGAACCATTTGAGTTACTCTGGTGCTGTTTCTGATTTTAATTACAATATATTAAAGAATTGAAGATATTATCAACCTTCCTTTTCTTCTTGGGAAATAGCATTTCTTTCTTCCCCTTTGTGTGGTTGCACCAGTAGGCTTTTGTAAGGGGAACTTGACAAAAACACAAACATGGGTTTCCATCAATTATTATGAATTGCTGTTTCCATCAATTAACTCTGAAAACACATTTGAGAAGAAACATGCTATGTCTTTCTAGGTGTGGTTGCTCTAGCTCTTTGAGAAAGGAATGAGTTTTTAATTTTTTTTCGAGGGGAAGGGGACTACAAATGATGGGGTAATTGCAGAACATCTCTGTTCATAACTCCCTGCCACTTCTTTTAATGCCTGTCTCTGGAACTTGACAGAAGTATGACCTTTTTTTTTTTTTTTTAACACAAGTATCAAGTTATCAGTGAGAGCTGGCTTTGCCAAGAAAAACGCGGATGTGCTGCTACTCCATGACAAGCATTAAAATCCATGGCAGGGTAGTGATGGCTGCTGCTGGCTTTGTGACCAGTGTCTTGGCTTGACTTCTGTGCTTTACTGCACATACTGTTAGAGGAATCTCATCCCCTTGTCTGCTGACTTTCTCTTCTGTATTTCTTGTGCTGTGGTCAGCCTTCTGTGAATTGAACTGAACTCAAATAGCCTTGAAGTATGAACCATAATCATGTGAATGGTCATTAAAAGCTACTCTCTAAGGTCCTTACAGATGCAATGAGACGAAAAGGTTGAAGTACTACTTCAGGAAATAGGGAGAATGAAATGCAGGAGACTTAAGTCTTGGAAAGAGGGGAGGTGGAGTGACAAGACCTGGATTTTTGCTGTTCTCTTGATTATGCCTTGTCTTTGTATTACATGTTGCTTTCCTGGTTAGTAGTTTGGATGGAACTGTTACTGGTGTTACGTCTGTGCTGTTTCCCTGCTAGACATTTGAAAAGGTGGGAGTTGATAAAGTAAAATAGATAAACTGGAACAAGATGGTAGAATTGGGGCATTCAGATTTGGAAGATTGGATTGAGCCTTTTGGGGTTGTGATCAAGAGGCCTTTGTCCACTTGTGTCTTCCATTTCAAAGGAAGTAGGAGTTAGTATCTCACAGATCGCAAACGCTTCCAAAGTCTGATGATGCTCCATGACCATGTTCCTCTTAGCTGATAGTTTTTCTGCATTATCTAAGATGTAGGGGTGGGAAGAACGTGTGGCAATTACATCCCCAATTTGGCCACACCAGATTGGTGGCACATAATGTTGTTGGTTTTCTTTTTGCCAGGTGGTCATGAGAATTTTGCCAAAATGATTGATGAGGCGGAAGTGCTGGAGTTCCCTATGGTGGTGAAGAACACGCGGGGTCACCGAGGTGGGTGTGAGGTCAGGGGTGAGGGCAAGGAGTATTCTGAGCAGCACTCTTTAAGATTGTGTCTCGTCAAGGGACAACAGTTAAGAAGGTCTTCTAATAGGTGTTTGACTTCTTTGCGGTACATCTAAATTCTACTACCCCTGGACTTCTGAACGTTGAATAGGCTGCAACACTGGGAAGCAGTTTTAGTAGACCCTAGTCTTGCAGGGGGGAATAGGTGTTCAAAATTTTGGTGCATTGGTGACTTCTGCAGGGAAAGCTTTGAACTGGAATGATGGAAGGTCTGGCCTTAGGGAAGTAGAGAGAAGCCTACATGGATTTTAGGGATGTTTCTACATAGGCATAAGAAATAAAATCTTAGTTCATTCAGTCTTAATTTGACTTCTTTTCTACTTTCTACCTTGTCTATAATTTAGGTTCTGATTTGAGTAAAATCTCACGTATCATTTGTCAAACTGGATCTTTGTTTTTCAGAAATATATCTCTGGCACTACTGGTGATAATACAGCAGGTTCAGATTAAATTGTTATGAGTCTTTTGTTTTATGTGTTGAATATGAAACAATGCATCAATTTCATTTAATGTTAGTGATCTACTAAAGGAAACCAGGTTTAAAATCAATTTCAGAGGTTATTTGCACAGGCGGTTGCACTGTTTTAAATTTACTTTAAAACCAATTTAATAAATACTGGAAGTAAAAAGAGCCTGAAACTGAAGTTTAAGCACATAAGCCAGCAGTTACCTTAGACAAAAGCATAACAAAGAGACACCCCTTTTTCCTATTACTGTCTCTCAGTTTGTTCCCGCTCTGTGCTGCTCTGGTACATCTCTTCTGCTACTGTGTGTGTTTCTGTAGCCATGTAGTAAATGGATTCAGGAACTGATGTTGGATGAATCTAGATGGATTATTTTTACTTGGATTAATTCCTTACATGAATTGTCATTTACTTGCACAAATGCTTGTGTTGATGTAATGGAAGAGTGAGAACAGAAGGCTGGGGCAGAGAAAGAGCAGACCTGATTCTGTTGGCAGTAATACCTGTTTATATGGTTTTAAAGTGCTTGTGGAGCTATGAAGCCGAGTTGGAGTTTGACTTTGCAGAAAGCTGAACTTGATAACTGTGGAGTATCTGAGACAGTGGATTTGACTTGGCACTGCCTCTTGTTAAGATCCACTAAATAATTATAGAATTTGCAGCTATTGACTTTCTTCTCTTTTTTTTAGTCAGGATTCATGTAAATCTGTTTACAAATTTTGCTTTGGAGCACTTTAAATTCCAGGCATTTTAATGCAAATTTATGCACAGTAGATATTCTTTCACACTAAGATAGTTGGGAAAACTTTTTTGAATTAACTGTAGAGCAGCCATTTGCAAATTGTATTAAAAAAAAAAATAAACAAAACCAGGCAAACATGGTAATAGGTACTGGCTGATGAATAAAAGTCATACTCTTCTAGGCCAAATTTCTATGTAGTTTGCTGCTGCAGCAAATGTGCCAGTCTTATTTTTGCCAAGATGTCATGATGCTGCGTAATTCGCAAGAACTAAGTAGTTCCCCTCCAAGGCATCATTCTTCTTATCCCATTTTAGGAATACGATTGGATTAAGTGCCTGTAGGGGAGCTAAATTTGGGAATGGGAGAAAGCACATGGAAGTTTTTGCTTTCTTGTCATGATTTTTAAGCCTACATTCTGATACTCTGTGATGAGAAATTCCATGTTCCTAAATCAGTGTTCTGAGTTACGGAGACCTTAAATCCTGACAAATCAGAGGCTGCCCCACTTGGGCTTTGGAGCACTTGCTGGAATTCTTCACATGTTATTTCTCCTAGTTCTGCTACTGCTGCATTTCTGTTACCTTAGTTAAGATAGCCAGTTTATCAATTGATTTTTATATTCTGTTTAACATTATAACATAATTGAGTGACAATTCTGCCACAAAAAAAAAAAATGTGCAGCCTTATTGGGAAACATAAATCTAATGACACATAAAAGAGTCCTTAAGGAAGGGGAAGTGGAGTTGGAAAATGTAGCTGAAGATGGAAAGGGATGCCATCTTGTGAGACTAGAAATGAGATGGAAAGTGGTAGAGCCTGTTTCAGGAGCGACTTTCATCAGTATTAAAATTGGAACAGAACAAAGAAGTCTTTGGTGTGCTCTAGAAATTAAGGGGAATGAAATGACATGTTTAGGTTAAACCCCCCAAATCTGTGAGATGTTTGCTTGCAGAAAAGCTAGTGGTTTATAAAGAGGTTTGGTTTTTTTTTTTTTTTTTTTTTAATTTTAGTACATTCCATTCATTTTATGTCCTGTGGAATCTTCTGCTAAATTATCTCGAATACTGTGGAGCCTAGTGTTCTCTTCTGAATGTAGTTGTTCCACTGCAAAGCCTTATTCTGGAGTTGTGAGCTCTTGTAAGTACTGAGAAGAGCAGCTCTCAGCAGCTTCCCACAAGGGAAGTGGTTGGTTCTGCAGTCGCACACTAGCGACTTCAGAGTTCTTAGCTGCCTGGTGTTGAACAGTTTCATGTCACTGTTCCCTTGTGTCAAAGCAATAGGCTGTGAGTCCAGTCCTCTTGCATGAACAAAACTGTGCCATTAATTAAATGTCATCTGCTCTTTCAGTATTTCTTCCTTTTTTATCTCATTAAGGACTCACACCGAAAACAGTTGAAATTACAACAGTGCCTCCTTTATCTGAAGCTGTTTTCTTTTCTTTTTCTTTTTTACACTCCTCATTTGGCTCCTCAACTCTGTCAGTACTTGAACACTTAGAAGGACTGAAGCAGTGGAACACTGATGTCCATAGAAGAATTTGTAAATGGGTATAAGCTACAGAAGGGGCCTGTGAGAATGGATAGCATACTAGTCAGAGTTTTATGTACTGAATCATTGGTACAGCTCATATTGGTAGCTTTGTCCAATCTTCCAATGTTCTTTTCTTCATACAGGTAAAGCTGTGTTCCTGGCACGAGACAAGCACCATTTGGCAGACCTAAGCCATTTGATCCGTCATGATGCCCCTTACTTATTCCAAAAATACGTGAAAGAGTCCCATGGCAAGGATGTACGTGTCATCGTAGTAGGAGGCCGTGTGGTGGGCACCATGCTCCGCTGCTCAACAGATGGGAGGATGCAGAGTAACTGCTCACTTGGTAGGAAAAGCATTGTTCATAGTTTTGATCAGAATTTTTCAATCCAGCTGAAAAATCACAAACCCATCTGAAATAAGTTGCAGGTTTTATTTTCTATTAATTGTGTTTACTGTTGGGGTTTACATAGGAAGCACAAGATTGAGGATTAAATGAGATATGTGTTGAGCAAACACAGGAGAGACAATCTCTGCCCAAAGTATTAGCTGGATAGGATGGATGAAAAGAAGGGGAAAGTTCTAGGAACACAAATGGAACAACTGATGAGGTAGTGGCAGTGTCATGCTAATGCCACGTTATCATTCATGTCATCCTTTTAAGAGGAACAGGAAGAGAAGGAAGACAGAAGACAAGACTGAGGAAGGTGAAGGAGACAGCCAGTTGGCAAGAGGGTAGAAGAGAGTGTTAAGGGAGGAAAATGTTGAAGGCAATAAAGAGTTGGATTGCATTGTGAAGCTGCTATGCTGCCTGAAGTCTGTCAGGATCCTCCCTGCAACCTTTTCCCACAAATACCATGTTTGGGAGGAAGAGGAAGGTTATTGCACTGATTGCAGCATATTCAGAACTGAGTTTCTGCATTGCTTTGGGTGTAGGATGGGGTTTTCTGATGGTAGAAGGAGGAAGAAGTGTTGAGGTTGCCTGGCTGAAACTGTACTGAACGGGAGCAGGCATGGGGTAAAATGTGTTCATGTGTAGTACAGTTTTAGTCAAAATGTCCAAAATGCATGAGAGGTTTTAGTTGCTACTTGATGCTGAAGAAATATAGCCTGAAGGATTTTTCTGCTAAATGTTCTTTTCTTTCATAGTGCCTGCTTTTTTTAAAATTTAAGTGTTGCGATAGATGAAGTCTGAGTCAGTTAATACTTGCATGATGGACTGTGAACTGCACCAGCTGCGGTTCAGCCACAAATGCTTCCTAATTCTTGCTTTAGAGAAAGTAACCAACGTAGCAAGCTGAGAGGGACATGAGCATAGATGATAATGTCTTAATCCCAGTTGCCCTCAATTATGTCTGTTACAGGTGTAGTCTAATCAGGAACACTTGGTTTAATTTTGCTGGAAGATTTCTTGTGATAGCCTACAAATATGTATGGAAAGCCTCTACCTTAGAAGGAGCAAGGGTCGTTTGTTAGGTTGTCTTTTTAATATCCTAGGATCATAAAAACGTGTGATATCCTTCTTAACTAAGAAGTCAACACTTAACTGTTTTTTAAACAAGTCATAGCCTTTAGGAGTCCTGCTGTGACTTCAAGTTCCTTAGCCGTCACTGTGGAAAGGAGGTGGTTTTCTGAGTCACCAGCAGTATGCTTGCAGGCTTGCTTTGGGGCTTCCCAACCAAAAAGCACCAGCCAGTTGAGAAGGATGTCAGTCACCTGTGACCAGACTACAGACGGCAGGTTTTTTTTTTCCCTTCTTCCAGGTGGTGTAGGGATGATGTGCTCACTGAGTGAACAAGGCAAGCAGTTGGCAGTCCAAGTGTCAAACATCCTGGGGATGGACGTGTGCGGGATTGACCTGCTGATGAAGGACGACGGTTCATTCTACGTCTGCGAGGCCAATGCAAATGTAGGTTTCATTGCCTTTGACAAGGCTTGTAATCTAGATGTAGCTGGTATCATAGCGGACTATGCCGCTTCTCTCCTTACCCCCGGTCGCTTGACGCGGCGCATGTCCTTGCTCTCTGTGGTGTCCACGGCAAGCGAGACTAGCGAGCCAGAGCTGGGCCCTCCAGCTAGTGCCGCTGTCGACAATATGAGTGCTAGCTCCAGCTCTGTCGACAGCGACCCTGAGACCACGGAGAGAGAGTTGCTCACCAAGCTCCCGGGGGCTCTGTTCAACATGAACCAGCTATTAGCCAATGAGATCAAACTTCTTGTGGAGTGATGCCACATGTAAATAGATGACCAACAGAACTCTCTCTTGTAAATTTTTTTTTTTTTTTAAACCAACTTGCAATGCTGTTTATCAGAGAAGCTCAGAGGAATGAGGAGACGGGGAGGGAGGGGGGTGTTAATCAAGAGAGCAAGAGTAAAAGGCATATGTGCTGTGATTGCTGCCCCTACTTTTTTGCAGAACATAAAATTGTTTTCACTCTTCAGCATCAGTTTTCTAATGAAGGTGCGCAGTTTACAACCTAAGTGGGAATTATATTTGGATGCCACTTTGGTCCCCAGATGTATTGCAGTTCATGTGTGTTCACAGGCAAGCATTGAAGCACAATTCACACTTGAAGATTTTCAGAAAGCTGTCTGTCAGCTCTCTAGAAACTTATGTGAATTACTGCACCAGTTAAGTCTCTTCTACCTCCGTAAAGCTTGATCCTGTAAATTGCCATGTGCCTCAAATTCTCGGTGTGAGTTGAAGGTGTTAAATACCAGGTATTTCAAAGTTCCTGGACACCTACTGTTCCTACTCTTGTAGATGGAAGCTGTAAGTTGAGGATACTTGTAAACTCATCACTTTCTGACCTTGCAGGATATGGCCTTTCAAATGATGAGGCTAAGAGAAGTGTCAGTTGACTTAACGTGAGCTTTCTGTATAAATCTGTAATTTGTGCCATCTTGGTATTAATTGGCAGCTTTATATCTATGTTTATTTATAAAGCTTTTGAAGGAGGATTTTAGTACGTGTTTTTTTTCTCATTTCAAATCCTCATTTTTGGAAGGTATGTAGGGGAATTGGTCATACTCTATTTGTGGCAAAAGTGGCACGTTTTAACTATTTTTTGCATGATTGAAAGAGATAAACAGCACTGTAGTGTTTGGTATACAAAATAATGTTTAATCCAATGTGAAAAAGAATTACACTAGTTTAAAGCAAACGTGCATCGACTTGTATTTGTTAGTGTTTTAGTCTTTTTGAGAGAGATCTGCAATGTTACTGTTCCTTTTTCTTTAATACATGCTAGTCCAACACTCCCTTCTCTATGCCTGCATCTTTAACAGTGGCCAAAGTGAAAACACTGCAGACTGTTTGTTAAGAAAACACTGAGTTAAAAGCCTGTACATTGGTGGGGTGGGTTTTTTTCTTGTTTTTATTTTGTGCTTTTTTTGAGGGGGAAATGTGGTAAGGTATGGAGGTGGGAAAAGTTGGTTAAAAGTGATTAGACATCTAGAGGTACTTTAGAATAAAGCTGCAGTTCATACAATACTTACCAGGCTTACTTTTTCCCCACTGAACATAAAAGCTGATGTTGGCAGAAATCCAAAGAGTATGACTGGGGAGAAATACTCAATTCTTAGCTTTGGGAAACATGCAGCTGATTTAAAAATGAAAAATAATAATATAAAAAAAAAAAAAAAAGGAAAAAAGAAGGACAAAAAAAGAGAGCTCAGTCAGAATTAAAAAAAGATAATAAAATATACAACCTAGGTCCACAAACAATTAACGAATCGATCCTGGACCCTTACCTGTGTGTGGTGTGAGTGCACACACCCGTGTGTGTTTGTGTGTGTGCATTTACTTTGCTTTATTTCTTTTTTGGTTTTGGCTCTTTAGCTCCTGATTTTTTTCCAGGCTGCCTGATTTTCCTTAATCCTTCTGGTTGTGCATTTTCTCATTAGCCTTGAGCTGTTTTGGAAAACAGATAACCAAAACAGCTACTGAATCCAGTTTTCAGTCCTTATATTCCCCCTCCTTTTCTTCTTCCTTCTCCCTCCTCCCTTTTCATTCCTTTCTCATTCTCTGGGTTCATAAAGCCCTGGAGCTATATATATATATATGTATATATGTGTGTGTGTATGTGTGTGTATATATATATATATATATATATAAATAACACCTCTTTTTTTTTTTTTTAAAAAACAAAAAGTAAAATGTTTACAGTTGAAAAATAATCTTGTGAAAATAGGGTTTGTTTGGAGGGGGGTTGTGTGTGTGCAATGCTGCTGTTTTCTGGATACTTTAATGGAGCATGTCCCATGTACCCTCTGAGGCTCTGCACTGCCCACCTCTGTGGCCCTTCCTCACCTCTCTGCTGCTCTGCTGTTTTATCTTCACTTGGACCTTAAACACAACTCACGGACACTATGCAGAGAGTCTTCAAGAGGCAATAAACAGAACAGTATTAACCTGCTTTATGGAGGTTTGATCATGCTTCTTTGTACAGTTTGGTTTTTTTTTGTTTTTTTTTTTTTTTAATTATTTTGAAAGGAATGTAATAAAATGGCTTTTTTTTTTTTTGTAGAATTAAATATTATTATTAAAATCAAGTGAAAGGTTGACTGTTGGTGTTAAGCAGCAGAGTGGACCAGCTGGTCCAGCAACAGAAGGAACTTGAGCAGTAAAGGTATTTTCAAATCTTTCCTCCTGAGCCTTCAAGCACACAGGTTATACCTGAAGAATGTGAAGGTCTTTAACTTCCATGAAGAGTTGCAGAATCACAAAACATAAAAGAAACCTGATTTTCTAGTCACTAAGCAGTAAACTCTCTCTTCCAGAGGCTCTTCTCCCTTTTTTTGTTTTTCTAAGGGGAATTTGGGTGGTGGTGTGTGGTGTTTTGGGTTTTTTTTTTGATGTTTTTATGGTTTATTTTATTTATATTTTATTTTCCTTTTTCTTTTTACTGGTAGATGCCAGCACTCCATGAGAGTCTGATAGGGTCAATCCTTCCCTTTTCAGCTGTGGCACATGTTGAGCACATGTGTGATAACATCAGGGAGTAAATGTGTTAGTTGGTATAGTGGGACCTCTGTATTTCTATCACAGGACACATCTTTTAGAGGAAAGAGCTGGTAAAAGAACGTTCTGGACTGTTTTTTGAGTCTCCATAGTATGTTGTGGCTCACAGGAACTTTACATTTTTATCACCCTTTCAGAATGTCCAGGTTACACCTCACAGTAGTGAAATTTGTGAAGTAGACATAGGATTTTTTTGAAAGATGAACAGTGGATTGAGAGATTAACGGTTTGGCTCCCTTGGGATAAAGTGCTCCTCTGTGCTTGGTGCTTCCATTGCTAGTTTGGAGATATGTCTATGCATAGTGGTCAGGGAGGGAGACGGGGTTTGAGACATCATGTACATTTGTTTGGACACTGGGTATTGATATGACATGAAACCCTTGCTTGAGGCTTCATTGGTACAAATGGGCACACCTGTCTTATGTATTTACACCCTACTTATCCATGGCTTCTGAAGGAGTGAAATCCAGAGAATGGGTTGGGGGTGTGAGGGGGTGTCTTATTTTTATTTAAAGGGAAAAACCGCCAACAGATCTAGCCTGTTGTACCCAGGCAGTGTTTCCCATTGAAGGTGAACTTCACAGATGCCAGCTTTATACACCGTATTTCCTTCAGTTCCATATGCTGAAAACACATGCTAAACTTTCATACAGTTGCACTAACACTGCCTCCATATCTGGGTTTGGAAGCACGTGCTGAAAAAAACAGTCAATGTAGTGCTGGATTACAATAGTGCTAATACAGCTAATGGTAACAGAACTATTTTTATATATTTGAATGTTTGAAAAAGCCAGTTAGAAATTCTTGTTTGCAAGAAGTTTCTTAAATTACATTTGATGAAGCTTTGTTCTTTGTAACACTGGAGATTTTCTTCTGTTCAATTTACCATGTTTATAACTGATGTCTTCCTATGTCAATGTACGGATTGTATCTTAAGCCTTGTATTTAATGCTTTAACATGTTTTATAAAATCTTTTCTTGGAATGTTCCAACACCTTATCCGTAACACAATGTCAGTACTTGATGCCTATGTGGACTGTTAACGTTTTTGTTCTGAGCTGATGGTCACTCTTGGAGCATTTTCTCCCACTCCGTGTGCTATCTTTCATGTGTGATACTTACTCAGGAAATAACCTCTGGAACATCTGTGTATGCGAGACGCAAAGGAGATACTACTTCAGATGTTATATTGGACTTCAAAATCCAACAAATGAAACCAGTGACGTTTGCTAAATCTTTTCTCCCCCTTATTGCAAAAATCCGTCAGTTAAATACATAAGGGACCTTAAGGGCTTAGAGAGACTTTGAAAACAAATTGCATGTACAGTGTCTTTCTCATGGCTCACTCTTTTTGAGAAGGTTTATGGGCTTTATGGCTGGTGTGAGACACACGACCCACTCCTCTCTATGGAATAGTAGGTGCTCGGACAGGTAACTTCTGTTGCTACGGTCTCTTTTCATTTTTAAGTTTTTCACTGCTCTAGGAATTGTTTTAAACTGAACACTGCAGGATTTATAACCAGATGTTTGCTGCCTTTCCCTTTGTTTTATTTCTTTAAGTCTTTCTTAACCTTTGAGGGTGACTTTTGGGGCATTCTGATGGTTGGATCTTGGCCTGCTGTTGGAAGTCTCCAAGCCTCACATATTTCCAATTTGAGTTGAAAAGTTTTTTTGTTTCGTTTATTTGTTTAAACCGATGACACAAATTAGATACTCGGATTTTGGGTGGGTTTTGTTGCTCTATTTTATGTGACTTATTCTCCCTTCTTTTGCAGAAATGTGTTCTAACAGTTCACACTTTGTTACTGTTCTTTGCAAAACTTTTCAGGAGCCAAAAAAGTCAAACAATCCAGAGAAAACCTTCCCTTCTCCCCTTTCCGATGGCAAGAGTGAGAACTTATGAAAAGTCCTTGAGAATGTTCCTTCCTAAACTTTTCCCCCCAGTAATGCAAGCGGGTAAAATGGTAAATGCAGCAGTTTGGTGACATCCAAAACCGACCTGTTGTCAGGTAAATTGACTCTTTTCTGCTCTTACTGTAGCCTTCATAAGTTTGCTAACTTGTGTGCCTTCCTTTCTTTTCATCAGTTCATTTTGATGAAACTCCTTGAATAATTTCTTTAACAGTGATATTTAGAGAAAATCCTACTTCTTTATTTCCCTTCCTTATACCTGTTAACCTTTAAGAAAACTGTCATTGTCCTTTACTTTACTCAGGTGAGACAAAAGTGAGTCCCCTCATGTAAGTATATGAGGGGTAGTTTTGGAATATGTTAATTCCACCTCCTCTTTATCACTTCAAGGTAGTTTGCTTTCCAGTGTACTATTTTAGCTTAGGTTTTTGAAAGTATGATGCTTTCCATTTGCCAGGTGAACGTAAAGTATAAGTGCATCAATCATGAGTTGAAAGGTATGAAAAACCACTACTAAGAATGTTAAATTAAATCTGTTAAAACTCATTAGAGCAAGATCCTGTAAAGAGGACAGATGGGAGAATATGTGTGTTTAAAGAAAAAGACTGCGAGGCTGATTATTCCTGTATGTGGATGATGGGATGGTGCATTTTATGTTGCCATTACAGCTATATCTAAGTATTTGTACACTTTATCCTTCTCTGGTGACTCCTTCCCTTAATCTCAAACCACTTAAAAGTGCTGGGAACTTAGTAATTTTTTTACTTCATCTAAGGAGGAAAATCTGTATTTTATTCAGAGGTAAATATCAGACAATTGGAACGCCATTCAAAGTGGAAGAACGTGAGCCTTCAGACAGGCTTCCAAATTTCCTGATGCATTATTTTATTTCCCATGACATCTGTAAAAAATTAGCACTTGTTTCAGACTTTTTTCTGTGTACATTAATAACTCTTCTATATCATCATAAAATAGTCTACTTTTCGTATTCTCAATTTATTTTTTCCTGAAACAAGGCAAATTTCTCAGCAATACCAAAAATTGCAGCTCCAAATTAAGGTGGGAGGGAATAATTTTAGAGCCAAATTTTGCTCTCAATTACACTGAAATAAAGCTGGAATCGCTCTGTGAAAGTCAGTGGAGTGATATCCACTTTCACTGGTATAATTGAGTGTATAATTTGTGTCTTTAATTTTACTTGCAAGATAATTTTACAGACCTGTTATACTTATGTTTCCAATGCTTTTTCCTTTCAGACACACCCACTTCTTGCGTCTCAGCACTGGGCAGGCCTATTCCTTTATTTGTGTATATTTTTGTGCATCAGCTGCTATAGGACACGGGTGTAACACTTTCAGGCATGTGGTTGGGTGTCTTTTTGGGGGAGAGATTTGTGGGTTTGTAACAATGTCTAAAAAAATAATTTCTGTTCTTCAAATTTGTTGAACAAATTCATGTTGGCTCACAGTTTTGCATTTCTAACCTGATTTTATATATATATATATATATATATATATATATATATATGTTACATGAAGATTTTCTTGAAAGACAGACAGTACTAGTTCTTTGCAGTGATCAAAATTTACTGCATTCTGCAGAAGTTAATGTCTTAATATTTAATGTTGCTTGAAATATGGTTTTACAGATCATGTTCCTTACGTTTATGGAATGACTTTCAAGCCCTTGTATTGATTTTGGTTGTGCCCAGTGCTTTACCTAGTGTATGGGGAAATGTTGTAGAACTTGAATAAGCCATGACATCTTAGACAAAGGATGATGATTATGTCCATGCTGAACAAGAACTTCTTCTGTATGCCCTTCTGCTGCAACAGAGTAATAAAACTGGTAGGTGGCAGCAGCAGCAGCAGAAGAAACTCATGACTGTGACCTGAGAAACCTCCAGTACTGGGAGAAATGGATTGAAAAATATTAACTGAAGTAAGGGGAACGATGGAGAGGCAGAGTCCCTGAACTGTCCCTTTGAATGGTGAGTCTAATTTCCAGAATTCTAACCATCAAAAGACTAGCTGTAGTACAGTAGTCACATTGATCTGTCTCATTTGGTGTTTGGTTACCTGATGTCCTGATTCCGATCTTTGATTCAACATTCCAGTTTCCCCACTGTCTCTATAAGGCACAGTGTATGCCTTAAAAAAAATTGAACTTCACCAAAACTGCCACATCTTAAGAGTACTGCAAAATAAAGCTGGAAGGAATTTATCTAGTCCATCCATTTCTCTGCCCCACAGGAAAATCGTTCATGGTTATGCCATTGGTGACATGTTTGTTTTAACCTGGTCTAAACCCCAAGTAATAAATGAGGAAGATTCTACAATCTTTACTGATGTAATTTTATTTTATGAAGGTAGAAAGCATCCTTACTGTCAGCCAGTGGTCAACTTCATGGGCTGAGACTATCAGCTTTTTTTGCTACTTCATTTTTTGCCCATCTGCTATCTAATGCTACCTGTGGGATGATTCTCTTATGTACTTCTTGTACATATAGGTCTCTTCTTGAAATGTTCTTGAGTATTTTATTACAATGCTACTTGGTGATAACCAAAATTACATGTGTGTATACATATATTAACATTTCATGTGAAATGTTGGTTTCTTTGAATCTAAAGCATTGTACCCCTTTGGGTGTAAAGAACTTCTATCCTAGTGTTGTCAACATGCATTCTTTCTGTGCAAGAACCATAGTTTGCAAATGCATATAATAAGGAACCAGCTTCATGCTGTAATGATGCTTTAAAAACCTCAGAATTTTCATGTGGTACATGATGGCTACTTGACACTTAGGGACAATAGCAGGGATTTACCTCTAACAAATAAGTATGTTTGGCATTAAGTCTAAATTGTATCCTTAAATCACTCTAATTTTGTCTGGTGGGGCGCAGTGGTGCACATTTATTCAGATGAATCTAGATGAATTTTTCAAAATTCTGTTATAAATTTTCCAATATATAAAAAGCTTCTTTGAGACTTTCCCCTCTGTTTCTGAGTCCTGGCCTTTTTTTGATTAGTTTAACTAGTCATAGTTGGAAATCCAAGCTGGTAAGTACAGAAGATAAATTGCTTCTTAGATTTGTATCAGTCATTAGCCCATTACAGTATAATGAAAAGGATTTAAGACCTTCTTAATAATTGACATGCTCAAATGTCTCTACATAACATGTAAGAAAAATTTGTATCTATATGTTAAAAGATTTCTATGTAAGGAGGAGATAAGACATTGATACAGTAACAAAGTAAAAAAACTTGGAAATGTTGAGTAATAGCTCTGAAGCTGGAAAAGCCAAAACCCAAATCCATTATTCTCTTCTGTGAATCTTACATAGATATTAATTACTGTGTAATGGTATTTGTAGAACACTGTTTAGATTAAATGATAGATGCCTTAGGAATGTCATGGTACTAAAGGACAGTGTTCTTCATGGAGACTTCATATATCTCAAGAGAGAAAAAATATTCAAGGCACCAGCAGTTAAACTCCTCTTTGAAAGTGGGAGAAAGTGGGAAATGATATATAAGATATATAAGCTATATGTTTCTGACTTAATGGCTAACAGCTAGTAGATTCAAACACCTCTTCAGTTATCTAGACCAATGGTCTTTAAAAGCTTTTGATTGCACATCCCTACCAGTAAAAAACATTTTGAGCATGCAGCCCAATCTATGTTTATTTATGTTACATACATGTACTACCATGTACATTATAAAACATACACAGAAATGGAAATTAAAAAAGGATGAGATAAAGATGAAATGAACACTCTTTTAAACATTTATTTCATTGTGTGTATTAATGGTGCAAAATATACATTCTTCCTGCAGCATTTTGAATTGTCTTGCCTACCCCCCTGGGGAACGTGAACTCTGCTTTGGAGAACACTGATCTAGACATCATCAAAGAATTCTAGTTGTACACATCATTAGTATATTCCATCATAACAATACCTCCATTTTAAGTAAGTCTCCTACCAGAGATTAAAATGCTGACCTCTAGTAGGGTGACTTCTCTTTCTGAAAAGAAAGTAAAAGAGGAGACAAGAGCAGGATATGGAAGCATTGATGAATGGTCTGTCATAGGGGAGGTTTGAATCTGGATCAGCTGAAAATGCGGAGAAACATGTCCAAGTGGGGTAAAAAACATGTGGTCAGAATATATACCAATATGCAGAACATGGCAGTAGCTTTTGTACTTTCATAAATGTTACTAGTTCACTTACAGCTAAGTATTAGTTGGTAAATTCCAAGTTCTGTTTCCTGTTGTTATCTGGGGTGGTCACACTAAAAATTGGAACAATGCTTACCAAAGGGAACTAAGCTGGATCTGAGTTTTTGATATTCAGGCAACTAGTTGCTACTGCGTATCAGGTATCACTTAGGACTATGAACAACTGGTGTGCTTTTCTCAGTAGCTTCTCACTTTTCATACAGCCTTTAAAAGTATTATGTTAACCACAGACTGGAAATCCCAGAACTGAGTTACTGCAAAGTAAGAAATACTTTGAATGGAGATCTGAAGAGTTCTATTAAATATAATGATGAGCAAAGTCTGTGTGTGAGATGAAGCTCATTGAGAAAGTTTTTTAAATCCAGTCAATTGGAGAGGTGAAAGAGAGAAAGTGAATTCTGGTAGTAGAGGCAAAGGAGTCTGAAGCATATGTCAGTCTGTCAGCAAAGAGGGAGATGAGGCAGTAAAACAGCTTTTGCTGATCTTGAGCATTCCCCTTTTTTTGTTGTAAGGAGGGATCTCACCAGGCTTTCAGTACATAATATATGCTAGGCATACTAGCCCTTGAGGATCAGGTATCAAGGAGGAGAGCTGGAAGTGTATATAGAACTGTTGATATGGAAACTAACTGTAGTACTTGTCTACTAGGATGTGGATTAAAAGTGTTACTTCACTGAGTTTAGGTGACAGTAATACTTGGGAACAATGGTGGTCATCTGGCCCCGAGCATGGGCTTATTTGCCCAGATACACCTATAACTTTTTGTTTTTCAGCATAGTTAGGGAGAGAGGCATAGAAATGTGTGTAAGTCTCTTTAATGAACATAGGGGACCATTCTAGGTGAGTTAGTGAACTGTTCAGGAAAGAATTTTTGGATATAAAATGTGCAGGTATTTAGAGTACACTCCCAGATCCTCAATGTTTTCACATGTGGCTATCAATACAAAAGGGTATTTTTTTTTTCTACTAGGTGTGACATAGCAAAGCATTCTGTTCTGCAACTTTGATGTGGTAGACTTTTCAAGAAGGCAGAATATTTTTCATTCTTACCATAGAATTCCATGGGCAGGCAAGAGGTGGTATGTATGTGAAAGGAAGAATAGATAAGTTCCTCACACTGACTGACAAGTGGATTATGGACATTTACACCGTACTCAGGCAAGGCATTTTTAAGGTATTTCTGCATCCTCCTTTTGTTCCATTTAGAAAGAGTACAAATATTACTAGAATATACAGAGTCTGCATAGTAATATGTCAGCGTATTAAGCTCTGCCAAGTGTGTATGTGGGAGGGGCTCATAAAACATTTATGTGAATTGCTACATGTCTGCTAAATGCGCTTTTTTATTTGCAGGCAGTTTGCTATCTGTAAGTGCATATAGTACCCTGTCTTAGTGGAATACATTTTTGTTTGTTCGGAAGGGAGGAAATGTGTTTGGGGAGTTAAATATGCCATTCTGTTGTCCATTTCAGTAGGAAGTAGAATGGTTAAGGGAAGCTGTCAAAATGCGTAGGAACTACACGACTAGTTATATCCAAAGTCTGGTGTCAGTTGAGTACTTGGTGCTGTTGCTTTTTGGTCTATCTTTTAGTAAGAGGTGACAAAGAAATATCTGGGAGGAATATCAAGAAATATCAGAATGATTTGAAAGTGTTGTGTACATTGAATTACATCTTCTGTTGCCATTTCTTTTTGCTTTCAGAACTCTTTGATGTGCTTCTATACAGGTATCATTTAAAAAGTACTGGCTGCTGAAATGTCTCTGGTGCCTAGGGCTGATGTCAGTTGAACAGGGGGAACAGACATGGAATTCTCTCTAACCAGGAGCGGTCAGATGTGCTAATCTGGGTCTTGACCAGATGAAGACAGAGAGTTAAAGTCTAACATAGGTTTTGCTGGGCTGTGTATTTTTATTGTGATACATGCAGTAGTAGCAGAAGTCTTTGTCAATAGTATCCTGTGTAGCTGTCACTAGAAAGTGTAGATGCTTTTGATCAGCAGTGAATGTAAAAATTTCCCTTATGTAATACTTTGTCTTTTCCCAAGTATAGGTACTGTATTATGTTAATCTGTGGTTTAATGTAATATGATATATACAGTTTTCCAAATCAGGACCGAATTTTTGCCTTGGACAAATTGCAGTATAACTGAGGTACTTCATACTACAAGAATGGAAAAGAAATGGAGTTTTATTAAAGGTCATTGGATGTGTTTTATTGAAAAAAAATATTGTAATCAGAAAAAAATAATTTATCACATTCATAAATTTTCATGGATATATGTTAATTTCCAGAATTTATTGGGTTGATCCTTCTTGTACAAAATAGCATTTGTTGTTAGAGAGGGAGGCAAAATCCATATTATATTAGCCAGTAACCCAGTTGTTGCTACCACTTTGGGCAGTCATACATTTTTTCTATGCAGATTTCCTGTTTATGGTGGAAGCAGTGATACTACTGAGCTTCCTTGATGCTTAGTTTATCTGTGTCGTAAAATACTTACATTTTTTGGAGAAAGGAGCTGGAGAGGTGACAACTGTACCCAGTGTTATGTGGACTAAGCAGGAAGGTGCCACGAAGCAGAGAGAAGACTAAGCAGTAGCCATATGCACAGGTATACTTTCAACTCTGTCTTGTCAATGTAGTGGGAGGCCAGGAGTCGAGATGACTGTTTCAGTTTTACCGTGATGAGGAATGAAAATGTCAAATTGACTGTGCAATTGTAAATATTTCCTATCTAGTTTTTACCAGTAGTGTGGTTTACCCAAGGGTGCATGTGCAGTTTCTCTTCCTCACTACTACTGTGCAAATCACTGTCTGCTAGTATTTATCCCTGGGATTTTGTCTGTTCTGTGGTATTGTGTATTAAGCCTGAAACTTGTGTAGTCTTTTGTGAGTTTTAGGAGGAAACCTGGTATGCTTGTATATTTTCCCATCCATCTAACAAACACAAGATCAACAGAAGCAATACATATGATATGGCTACTCTCTTTCCCCATCTTTACAACAGTGTATGGGAGGAGTAGCACAAATGTAATGTGATGTAGGAATGCTTGTAAATGCCCGAATGGAAATGTTTGTTTACTGGATGGCAAATACTGAAGCTTTATCAGCGAGAGAGCTAGGCAGAAAGAGGCTGCAGTGTGACTTTGCTAAACTTTTACATAATTCTTCCTCCACGTGAAATATTTCCACAGGAATGTAATGCTTGTGAAAGATGCTGGATCAACAGTTGCAGAGATTGAACTCCTCTACCCACAGGAAAGGTAACAGGAACTAGATTTTACCTTTAGAACACAGCCTTTGCTGCATCTTACTCCTTGACCAGGAAAGGCCTCTTCCAAGGTCGGAAGAGGAGGTTAGTACCCATGGCTCAGTCCTGGGAGCATCTGTAATGCAGATATCAAGGAAGCCAGATAGATGCCAGTTACAGAGTTTTTTATTTTTTTTTTTTTATGATGTCTGCTTGAATTTCTGATATTATTTTGGGGAAAACGACTAACTTCTTCAATGGTTTGTTTCTCTAGGTTTTCCTACACCAGCAGGAGGTCTTCTCTTCCCTCTTATGGGGACACTTACCTCTTGGTAATGCCCCTTCACAATGAAGGGAAGGAAGGATGGACCAGCAGCAATGTGGAATGCGGCGATGTCCACACTTGGGGTTTACAGTCATAACAATCAGTGTCCTACTAACATGGAGAAGTGAATAAAAGAGTTGAACTCTAAATCATGAGAGTGTGAGGTTCTTTTTGGTATCTTCTGCACCAGCTCCCCTTTCTTGAGGTGCTGTCTAACTTCAGAAGTCTATTGATCTTGCAGCTTTAATACAGCTGAGCCAGAAAAGTAAAACCAGTTGAATGTTCTTCATTATATTAACCTTTTTTTCTTCAGTGATTTAATTCCTAAGAGTTCAAAAATGCTTTATATTGACATGAATAAGCTTCCTGAATGCCTTGGAAACCTCAGTATCATGCCTTTGGTTTTATCAGTTATGTTATGAGTTCACCTAAGTTATTGAGAATACAAGTCTTGAATTTTAAAAGGAAAATCATATTATACTGATCATGCTGTACTGATAGTTTTGGTCACTGCTAAAGAGAAGCAGAACTGCAGTTCTGTTAACCTGTCAGAGATTCTTTAAACATTAGATAATGTACCTCTGGATACTGAGGCCACAGGGGCAGGGCTTATTACAGAGATGGTTGTGTAAATTCTTACTGTACACTGTTTCTGAAGAGAGATAATCTTTAAAACCACAGGTTATAGATCTGGCACATAGCTCTTTTGGTTCGTTGTTAGTGAGACACTGTAAAGAGCTAGACATATAGTAATGTTATGTGACAATCTGCCTATTTGAAATTTATATTATAAAAGTGAAGCAAAAAGGGACGCAAGATCCTGAGTTGGTACATTATCAGTAAACACCTCTTATTCTTGACAAGGTAGAATGTTCAGTTTCTTTGTAATCTTTTCGTTCTGTCCTTGAAATCCAGGCTAAATATTTCAGAGGGCTGTGATAATGTATTATAAAGCTTGACCAAATTGAATTTTAAAACAGATTTGGTGAAATTGAAGTGTAAAATGGAATCAAATGTAAAACCTTTAGCTAACTGGCAATTGCAAGAGGGAGCTTAAGGCAATAAAAGGGTAGTATCCCCTTGGACTTTAAAGCTTGAACATATTTTTAAGTTAGATTACATCACATCAGGCTGAAAGCTAGCACAGTTTGGGTAAAATTAGTTTAATACACTTTGTGCAGAAAGTGCCCTTAGGTTAGAAGATGAATGAAGGAATTGGTTTCAAGGTGCTTTTTAGGCCAAGAGTTTATTAGCAAGAGTGAGGCAATTGTTTTATTTTTATAAACCCTTACATAGCAGTCGTCTACGTGATGACTGAACCTCTAATGTAGCAATGAGAAAAGCAAAAATGTTCAGATGTTTCTAGAGAGGTATTTGGGTCAGAGAGGGAGGAGATATTCAATGCTATTGTGCAGAGTCGAGCTCAGACATCGCCTCTAAAGCTGTAAACAATTCTGATGGCTCAGCTTTGCAATTCTTGGAACTGGGGCATGTCTTCTAGGATAGTAGGTTCTACATTCTCTAATACTATAACAAACAGTATAGGAACTTGTTTTCTGAAACCTGTTGAAGAGTGAGGGCTGCTATTGAAGAAGATTGTGTAGTATAGATATTTTCATTCCTATTTTCTGTATGCTTGTTATAGTTATTTACAAGTTGGTGGAAACTAGGAGTGTGACTGGTACTGTGCAGCGATGCCTTTCCTCCAGTAGCTGCAGTTTGTGGTTTGGTGGTTTGCAAATGTGAGTGTCAAACCACGCCTCTGGTTGCACCCTGCCTCGAAGCAGATTAAATGGCTGCCTCTGCAGACTTGTGGCCATTTTATCTCAGTGCTTAGGAGTATGCTGATGCTTGTGCTAATACTTCCATAAGTGCTTTTCTGTCATTTTCCTTAATATTTAATGTAATAAAAGTAGACCAGCTGAGAACCTTATAAGTTCCTTCATAGTTTCATATATCCCACCTTGCTAAGCTAGTTCCAAGCCCTTATCTGTATTTCAGTTCTCTTACATTCTCTGCAGATGTTCAGCAGTGTTCTCCCTGTTCTACAGCCTCAAGTTCACAGATTTGTTCCTCTTGCTCCTCCTGCCTTCATAGTACAGAATGTTTGTTGTGGTTTTTTTTTTTTTTGTTTGTTTGTTTGTTTTGGTTTTTTTTTTCCATTTTGTTTGTTTGGGTATTTTTTGCTTCCAAATGCTCCTGCCTTCTTGTGATAGGAAAAGCCCCTGCTGTTTTTTCTGCTCTTAACCACTGGCCCTACTTGTCATTGTCCCATGCACACTCATAGTAGCTTAAGAGTATTTCTTACTCAGTGCCTATTATAGATAACTGTTCTTTGATGTTTATGTGAATTACCCTACAAGTGTGTTTTCTTTTTTTACAGAGAGAAAGACAGGTTTTGTTGCAACGCATTTATTTTTTAACAGCTCAAAATGCATCAGAAGTTAAATAAAAATTAAAAGAAGTTAATGAAAATAGAGATGTCTAGTTTCACTGTAGTGTCTCAGTGAGTGAGAGTCTCCAAATTGCAATACTGAGAAGATCAATAGGTCCCTTGCTGTTGCACTTATTTAGCTATCCTTGAGAGGGATTGGTCTCCTTGCAATCCATCTCCTCATGTACCTCAGTTAAAAGCTCCAATTCAAGAGCTGAGGTCAAGAATGTGTTAGTAACACTTGTGAGTTTTACTTTCCTTTGTCTTTTGTTCCTTTGAATTTGCCCCTTGAATATGAATACAGGGTATCAATAAATACTAAATGGATATTCATAATACAATATTTTTATACTGTTATTTGTACAGTACAGTGAAAACATAGTAATATTAGGTCTGTAGTGATAATGCTGACCTGTGCTGTGATGATTAGGGAAACCTGGTATAAACAGATCCTTTTGCACTTCTACATTTCCTCTTAATTGGAATTGTGCTTTTTTGCTGGCTGCAGAAATGGAATACTTGTAACACTCGGTTTTGCTTTGTATAATGGGATCTTGGGGTGGAGTATATTTGTATTAAGGCCAAACTGGGAGAGGGGTTGAAATTTTGTTTAGTATGATATCTGGAAAACCTCTGTAACTTGGCTGGCCTGCATTCCCAGTTGTGCATGATGTAAGCAGACAGCTGTGTTTTGACCACTGTCTTTTTTATTTTTCTGGGTCACTTTTAGTATTTTTTGCCATAGCACCTTGGTTGCTTCTCCAACCCTTTCTTTCCCTGTCCGAACAGCTTGGTTTTTCACTGTTTGTTTACCTCTAGGTGGTCTGCAGGATCTAGGTATCATCTTGGAACCAGACATCACATCATCCTCTCTGTGACTCTCTCATCCCGTGCTGTCATCACTTCCAGTGTTTTTCCAGACATGCTACTTTGAAGGGCTTCCTCTGCTGAGATGGTAATGTTGTTGAGAAAGGAGAACATGCAATGCAGTGATGAAGTTGTCTCAAAAAGCCTCAAGGGTGGAATCCATGGGGGAGAGGCTACTGCACTGTGCTTCTTTCGCCCCCCCACCATAATTTAGCTGTTGGTGCACAGGCTAGTAAGCAAAGCACAGGCTACTAAGCTAAGCCCTGCGCTGTTTCTGGCTTACGCACTTTATCTTGGACATTGGCATGCTTCAGTGGTTGGGATAAACAGCACTTCTCCCTGCCAGTTGGTGAGATCAGTGATTACTGTGTCAGTACTGCTGTCCTCTTTCTTGCTCTGCACATGCCTGGTACGGAGATTCAGTCAGGTTCTTTGGTCACCTGCATGTTTGTCCTCATCTGCTTTGGATCTACTCTCCCAGTTTATGGAAGGGAGATGGATAATACTGGGCTCTAAAATCATGTGAAACACACTAGGAAGAGTTTCTATCAGAGATGGAGTTACAACTGCTCAGTATTTTTCTTCAGCATTTTCATTAAAGAATTATTTGATTTTCTCGTGACACTGCTTCTGAAGATTTCTAATGAAGGAAAAAATCCTTCTAGTTCTGCCCATCATCCTAGAGAAAGCATACAGAAGCTGTCAGAGCTGTCTGTGGTATTACTTGCTGCTTCTTCCCCACAGCCCTTAAGATCCAGGACAAAGTGATACAGAAGGATAAAACGATGAGCTTCCAAGAGAAAGGAATGGGATGTTGCTTTCTAGCATCTCTGGTACGCATCCATGTTCAGCTGCTTGGTGGTGACAGGGCTTGTCTCCGTAAGAGTGTGAAATTGAGACAGGAGGGAGCAGGGAAGGAAGGGGCAGAATCCCTTCCAGTTGTGATAGGTCACTAATTGACCAGTGGTCACATCTGTGGTGGGGGAGAGGCAGGGTGGGGAGTGTGGGCTTTTGGAGAAATAAAGGAGCAACCTGTATAGTTTTCTAGTCCCTTCTTTCCAGCCTTGTGGCCAGTGCTGTGTTGTAGGGAAGAGTATTTCCTTAGTCTTCCCTGTAACGTCACACCATATAGCTTTCTGTGGTCCTATTTGCAAGGTAAGACTCCAAGGGAAGAACTGCACAAAATCATTCAAAGCATTCTCTTCAGCTTGAATCCTTTAATGGCTTGAATGGGTGAGCTTTCATCTTAACCCAATCTTACTAATAGCTCACATACTTTGAAAACAGTTGAATTTGTGAGCAGGGGAATGGAAATGCAAAATTGCAGCCCAGTTATGAGACTTCACTCTGGAACAAGCAAACCCTGAAATGGGAGAAGAGGACTGATAGAGGGAATGGAAGAAAGAGTATTTTCAGTATCTAAGGTTCCAGGTTTTGTTGGAGGCGTGTGTGTAACTTTCTCTTATAACGCCACTGGTTCTGATTTCATGAGCTTTCACATTAAATTGGTTTGCTTGAATGGGAGATGTTAAGGGAGTATGGCCTTGGTTAGGTGCAGCTGACTGGTGTATTGATGACATAGTAGCAGAAGGGTAAGAGGGGCTCCTAAAGATGCTTTCTCTTCTAAACTCTGTTCTTCCCATTGCTCTCCTGAGAGACCATTTTGCAGAGTAATTTGGTAGGTGCCTTTTTTGCTTTTAATTTCAACAGTCAACAGTTCTTACCTGTTACAGGTTCCTTTTTTCCAGCCGAACTAAGGTCTTGTGGCACTTATTACAAGACTGGCCATTAATTTAAAAAAATCTGTGTGTCTGTCACCTTCCCTAAAAGGTTTGTGGGAGGAGCACT